CAGTTCTCGGTCCATTTAACTGTTCATTCCATGCACTAAATAGGACAGCAGTCCGGTAGGATAAATAGTATGTGATTACTTCATTCTACAGTATATACATACACATATTAAAGTTGCATGAGAAACTTTAATTCTGGAATTTCCTATTGTACAGTGCTTGACTGTGTAAACTTAATAGTCTCTGAAATAATTTATTTGTATGCTACACCATCTGTAAGACGGGGTCAGGAAGGAGGAGAGACTGCCTGGCCTGCCTTGTAAGATAGGAATATGAAGCTTTCCTCAATAATGAGGACTGTGAAGTATACAAACGTATGAATAGTAGTCAGTAGAAGAGCAGAGACTAGAACTCATGGTCGTCTTCTGGCTCCTAGCCCAGCTCACTTTCCCTTAGGCTAAAAAGGTATTTTGCAGCTGCTGTTTTCCAAAGCCTTTAGAACAGTGGTCCCCAACCTTTTCGTGTGGCGGGCGCCGGACGACTAGCCGCCGAGGACTGTGGCTGCTGGACAAGCAGCCGCCGAAATGCCACCGAGAAGCGGCAACGCCAAGAAGTGTCGCCGCTGAAAATCGGCGGCATTTCGGCGGCAACGCTTCTTGACGTTGCCGCTTCGCGGCGGCATTTCGGCAGTTGCTTGTCCGGCAGCCAATAGGTGGGCACACATAGATGCCCCGGTGGGCGCTATGGCACCTGTGGGCACAGCATTGGGGATCCCTGCTTTAGAATATGTCTACTCTGCAATTGAAGTTGTAACAATAGTAGTATAGATGTGACAGCATGGACTTCAGCATAGGTTAGCAACCAGATTGTGTACCCAGGGTTTCCACTAGGCTTGTATTTTGGTTGCCAGCCCATGCTGAAGCCCATGTCACCACATCTACACTACTGTTGTTACCTGTTCTGTCTAAACTAGAACTATCCAGGTTTGTCTATCCATGCTACAATCACAACTTCATGTGTAGTATAGACATACCCTTAGAGAGCAGGATGTGGCTTGGTAGTATGCTTGCTGCAAATATAATGTTCTGAACAGCAAGTCTCTAACAAAGAGATGGTTAGAGGTTTATGTCTCAGCCAGATCTAGATTTGTGGATTTTCACAGGACAGTAAAAGACTTTCCTATCCAAGGACAATCACCTTGCCAATTTTAAGTCCCTATTCAAAACTATCGAGGTACTAAAGATCTTCAAATAAATTATTAGAAAAAATGTTGTAACATTTACAAAACTACGTATTTTTTCTTAACCACAGTCTCAAAAAGGGTTGGGGAAAAAATTCAACCTGAGGCAGAGACCATTCATGAAAAATTTCTATCTGAATGATTAGAGTTTGATAAAGTTATAAGTCATTGAAAATAGAGGCTTATAATGTAAACTCCTATAGTTAAGGCCCCCCTAACAATGTTGCCTGTAATCATATAAAAATATTTACTTATCTAAGAGTTTAAAATTACTGGAGTTTTCCTTTAAAAGAGACTTTTTGATGTAGCTTTGATTTAAGTGCTCTCTCTTCATCTCTGTTTTTGGACTGTGATGTCTGACAATAAGAAGTTGAAAATAGTTCATTCATTAAGGGTGATCTAGCTTATAAATTGCAGCTGTAATGTCATTAGCCAATGGCGGTTTACAATAGGTGGGTTCAGATAAGCCATGTCAGTCCTAATTTACCTGTCTGATTGCACATATTGACTTCTGAAGTATTGACTGGCTGGTGTGTCCAATTAATGCCCATTACTTCAGTGTTGCTGCTTTACTGATGTTTGAGGAAGGAAGGAAGGAAGGAAGGAAGGGAGAATTGGGTTGGCAGCTATTACCTCCAAATACTGCCTGAAACAAGTCTTTGCCTGCTATCTGAATAACATTGTAAAATGTTGTGATCTCAGGCAGAATATTTTTTGTGTACAAACACAGTGAATAATTTTTTATGAAACATTTATTGCTAAGTTTCTAATACCTTTCCATTTTCCTCTATAGTTCATATTCTTGCATGGAAGTTAATTTAAAAAATTAATTATTTTAATGTTAATTTGTGATGAACTGAGTAAGGAAACTGAATTAGGTTTTAAATTGATAGAATGAATAATTCACACAAGTTATATCTTGTGGGATTTTTAAATTTTCAATGGAGTGATTTGAAGATGATATATCAATCTTAAGGTTGAATTTCCTAGTTTTTCTTAGTTTGTGGAACATCCTTAAATTGTTTCTTTTTTCTTAATCTTTATTTATTAAAGCATTGAAGACTGGAGAATGTGTATTATAAATTTTATGAGTTTTAGCAGATGTGAGCCAAGAGGTAGAACTGTGTGTCTATTTACCTGCCCTAAGTTTGCTTGGCTCAATCCAGTCACATTAATCTACAATTTCGTCCTCACTAGAATCATATACATGCAAAAATAATAGTAAATACATGTTATAGTTATGAATTATTGTTTTGGAGATATCTAGTTGTGGAGACATTTTGTCACTATATTAAATACTTGAAGATATTTGCACTGTATCATAGAGAATTTATATGAAAAATCAGTTTGCTTTGCCCATATTTTCTGACATTTCCCTTTTACTATTGAAAACCTGTCAAAACCATTTTCCTCACTGTCCTACTTCTTGATTCTGCAATAAAACATGTTACTATTTACATTTGAGCATTACAAATTGTGTTATAATTTGATTAAATAGAGGAAAACATGAAACGGTAGCCCTTATTTATGTTTGCTTGAAAAAAAGGGGAAAGAAAACTTAATCTTATAAACAATGATTGACCTTAAGTATAAAGTGTATATATAAAGTATATTTAAAATAACACTAATATTATAGGTCCCCTTTGAATATTCAAATATTCTATGTTACCATGACCAAATATCTTGGAACAATATAGGTTACTGGTTTGTGGAATGAAAGGTCATGCTCCCATTATTCATTTTTCACTCAAGCCAAATGCATTTGCTCCTCAAGCTATGTGGCTTGGTCACGCTGTACCAGTGCATCAAAGTCCAGAAGTAATAGTCACTCCAGAAAAACCTCCTTGGATAAATAACACTTAATATAGAATAAGGTGGAATTGTTTCCTAAAAATAAATAATTTTGCTATAAAATAATTTCTTCAGCAAGGTAACGAGCCAAAAGGATATTGTAATGAAGCTGCATTTTGAAAGCTGTAAAAAATATTGCAATATTTGGTAAGAAATGTTTATTTTAACCATATTAAAAGCATCCCACCTTCCCATTGTAAACACATGGTTAGTGCAAGCTATCATTTCTTATGTACCATTAGCCCTGTATATTGATGACAGCTTGACAGATAATGTTTCAAACCCAGCAAAATGTATGTTAGTCTGAATTATTGTATCTTATTTTAAAATGGCAGCACTCCCATTTTATGCGCTGTCCACAATAAGGCCCCAAACCTGCAAACATTTATGCAAATAGGTAGTTCCACTGAATTGAGTGGGACTACTTGCAGACATGCATTTGTAGAACCAAGGCCTAAGGTTAAAGTAATGTGTTTAATCAAGGATTTTGTGGGGTGGTTTCTTTGTACGTGGACAAGGTTTTTATTTTTTTAAACACTGAACTATTTTAACCAAAATGGGATATAGATTACCTACAGGGTATTATATAATGCAGTACTTTGGGCAAGAATCCCTGTCTAATAGCTTATGAAACCAATTTCATGCTAGCAACAACCAGGTTCAAGCATAGCTGTTGCTAGCATTATTTGAACTGTAGTGAGGACAGAGATATCCATGCAAACCAGCTATCAGAAGATGTTATGACAGGGTTGGCAAGGCTTTATCCTTATTACAAAACACAGTTAAGATCCTATCTATGCTATGTATTAGGAACCATGTTGTAACCAGCCCTTAGCCTGACAGAGCCAGCAAGTTTGCCTTCATTTCCTAGATTCTGCATAAATTTTGTGGTGGCACAATCATTCTTTCTGTAGCCAATTCTGTGGGGAAAATGGGAGGTTTGTAACTGATGGTATAGGGAGGGCAGTGACATTTGTGCACACTGTGTACAGATTTCTCTATGGTAGATTCCTATAGTATAAGGATGTCTAAATGTGGCATCTAAACATTAAAAGGTCACTGGTTTCTTTTCTTTAACCACCTTTTGAAGCAGATCTCAAATTATCTAACTTCTCATTTCAAGACTCAAATAATCTGTCTAGCTTTTTTAAAGCTAGTTTTGACTCAGCATGTGGCCATCAGGTCATGGTTTTAGCTGGTTCCCATCCTTTAAATTTAAGGATCAGAGCTTTTTCATCCTTCAGGACAAGTATAAGTAAAGAGAATTGAAATATTCTTAGCTTGTATCCCTCTTGAACTAGGAATCACTTGCTAGCATAGTTATCCCAATAGATGAAACTAAGTGAGAAATTGGACTAATTCAGTTAACTTTCTGAGTAACTCTTGATAATGCTGCCATAGTCTTTAAATTTACTAATTCTTATTAAAACAAATGTACTCCAGAAATATTCCAGTTATTTGAAATAGATATAGTGGCTTATTATGTGTGTTACTTCTGTTTCAGTAGAACCCCTATAAAAGCATGAAAATTTTAGTTTAACTATTAAGTTTGGGGGTTCATGTTCTTTAGTTTTGATAGCTATACTTTTCGTAACTAAAGCAAGACATGCCATTTGAGCAGATGTTTAAGTGTGATATCTGTAGCTGGGGAAGGTGGAGGTGTCTTTATAATTTTATTAAGAACAAATCATTACTGTAGGAGAGAACTGTAAGTAATGGACACTTTCATTGTTTCACTGTAACAGAATTTCTCAGAATTCATTTTAACTCAGTTTCTGTTTTAGATGATGCAAACTGCAGTTTCAACTTTCTCCATGTCAATGTTTCCTGCTCTTCATTCAGTTAAATGTGTAGTAGCAAGCCATTAATCACTTTATCGCTGCAATGACTTTCAGCATACAGTAAATTAAACTTAAAGCTGTTTTGAACTGTGAATTATTGATTAGTGGTCTTTATTTTTCTTTGCATTAGATGGAGAAAAGAAGAATCAAGTGATGGTTCATGGAATTGAGCCGATGCTTGAGACACCAGTACAGTGGCTAAGTGAACATATGAGCTATCCTGATAATTTTCTTCACATTAGTATTATTCCCCAACCTACAGATTGAAGAATCAGCTGTATCAGATATAAGGATTATCCTCAGGCTGGATTTACCAGGGCATGTCAACCTTTTACTTATGTCAGGCTTGGTGGAGGCAACCTGACCAGAAAAACCTCACTGCTGCAAGCCAAACAGGAAAAAAGATCCCATCACTAGATAAGGACAATTGGGCTGGTCTTAGTTTGCATCACCACTGCTTTTCTCCACTGCCGTCATTAAACCTCAGTTGTGACATGAAAGACTTTACAGGACCACTGAAAGTCTGCTGTTTTCTTGTAAAATATAATGAAGCTGAAACTATTAGCCTGAAGAGCAAATGGAAATATGTGCCACTTGATTTGTATTTCTGATTAACAAATAAACAAGGGTTTTTCCTAACGTGACAATATTTCAGCTTTGGTTAGAGTGGAAACATTGGTTTAATTTTCTAGAAAATTAGATACCAAGAGAAATTATGTTATCAATAACTTCTAGTAACTTTTTGTAAAAGATCAGGTTACAGTAAACCCATATTTCTTTAATAGGAATTTCATAAGTTTACAGTATGTCAATTGGTATGAAAACTGTCTTTAACTTTGATAACAAGCAGTGAGAAATTTTTAAATAAAACCTCTGAACATATTTTGTCATTTAAGAACATGCACAACTTAGTTGCAAGTGTTTTTGATTTATATGCAGTTTGTCACTAAATATACCCTGGTGTACGTTTATCATTGAAACTAGTTTTCAGTGGAATAGTAATGGTGTAGGATAATTTGCTGAGGATCTGTTGTGGCATTCTTCTGATAATTTAAAATGTTTTCTGAGAGAATTTTTTCTTTAATCAATAAAAATGTAAAAGAATGTTGCAGATTATCATACCATTCTATTTATTCCCATAGATTAAAATTGGTCAAATCACAATATGATAAACAGATGTACTGTTTTTGAACAATTTTGAATATTGGAAAATTGAGCCTTTTCTGAGCTAGTTCTCATTGTGAGTTCAGTTTCCTAATGCAGTCCCATGGCAATCAGCACATGAAGTATCAAAATTTTATAATCTCATTGCAATAAGATTTTGCTTAATTTACCAAATATATTTATAGGTTACTGGAACTCATGCTCCAATTTTTGTAAATTTTTATTACATTACATCATTGCAGTTGCTACAGCGATCCTACCCTTTTCTATTTTATTTTATATTGCATTCATCTTGTCATGAGCCGTATTACTCTGTCTGCTTATTCTTGGTTGCTGCAGACCAAGAGTATGTTGTAAGCATATTGTCATGTAAATGTTTTCATAAAGAAACATGTTATTTTCTCAAAAAAAGAGAAAATATTTGCAATTATTACTGAAATTTTGACTTGAAAACGTCCTTATAGCTCATACTACTCTCTGCCCCCACTCTCTCCCAGTCATCTTTTTAGGAGCACTTACCTGTATTTGATTAAAAAAAACAAACTCATACACAAAGAAATGAGAGAAACAGCATCGACCTAAAGTGAAAATGAGGACAGAAAAACCATAAAACCCTAAAGGAAAAAGTCAGTATGACCAAGAGTAAAATAGAAACAAACAGGATTTTTGTTAACAGTGTACGTAAATGAGGAAATATAATTAAGGAAAGTCAAAGGGGGAAAGGAATAGTGAAATAGCTACATTCTTAATCTGTGAATTTGTGGGGATTAAAAAACTGAAAAAATATGTTGACCTCTGTTTTATTCAGAATGGATATATAGTTCAGTTATGGCTGGACGATTTTGTTGAAGGATTCTAGTTTCCATTTATGTTTGGAGTTTTCTCCACAATATTTTGACTGATTTCTTTCAAATTTTCTCAAGTGAAGGTGTCTAAATATCCAGGAGAAATTCAAAGTACTGCCAAAGGGGAGAGCAAATATTTTGTAGAGCATTAGTATAAAAGGAAGGCTTGTAGGGACTGGTATAATTTAATTTGTCTATTAATGAGGCAAAATAAAAAACTTCAAGGGAGGCAGCACATTAAATGAGCTATGAAGATTATTTCATCTGTTTAAAAATAGATGGTATTAAGCCATTGCCAGTCTTTACACATGCTCTGTTTCTATGATGCCAGCATTTTAAAATATGGATCTCTTCTCAAGGCCGTTACTCAGTAGTAAGTCAAGCCTCTAAAACCTGGTATGGGACAAAGACAAAAATGTAATGCTTGGCTTTGATATATTGTTTCTTTTTATTTTAACTATTTCAACCTTACGGTTTATTAAAAAATAAAATAAAGTTTGAGTCTCTTTATTTCTCAGTAAAAATAATAAGCATAATAGCACTAAAAAAGTTTTGTGATATGTGGTGACAAAGCGGGAAAGATATTTATAAGTATAGCAAATGTGGTTTAATTGACTTATTTACATATAGAACTGGTGAAGTTACATATCTAAACAAAAGACCTACATCACAAGAATGAAATGAGGTGCTTGTTTAATCAGAGTTTAATCACAGGGGTGTTTCTTTCTACGTTTCAGAATAGTTTTATTTTTACTGCATTTGTGTATGAATGTTGTCAAATCTGATATGAATAGAAAATGTATTGAGGTCTAATTTAAGTGTTACTCTTAAGTTTGAAATGATATAACTCTTGAGAAAACAAACTCACTCTACACTAGTCAAAATCAAAAGTAGTATTTTTGATGTTCTACGTGATGACTGTAGTCTATTTACAAAATGAATTCTTAGAGCTTGTGAAAAGTGCCATTTCCACAGACACCCCTGGAAACTTGAGGCCTGGTCTACACTAACGCTGTAAGTCGATGTAAGTTACGCTAGTTCAGGTACGTAAGTTACGTAACTGAAGGCGACTTATAGCAGTGTCTACACTACACTCAATGGGACATGCTTTCCTGTAGACATAGCTTCCTCTTGGGGAGGTGGAGTACAGACATTGACAGGAGAGCACTCTCCCATTGACGTAGTGTGTCTTCACCAGACCCGCTAAATTGACACCGCTGCATCAACTGCAGTGGTGCCGATTTAGCCGGTAATGTATCCATAGAACAGGTAAAGCATATTAAAGAGTACTGGGCACTGTTTCATACACGCATTGTACTTCAGTCCTGATCTGCAGAGGCCACCACCTCTGAGGAGGTTGAAAAAAAAGTTCATTCTCAATAGCTATTTAATCTTCAGCAACTTGCTTGAGACTCTCAACCAGGGTGCCAGTTGTAATGTGGATGCCTGTCCACCAAGACCTAGACAGTGTATTTCACTCTAGCTGCCAAACACCCATCAGTAGGTAAATACACTGGATCACTACTCACTGTGGTGTTTTATAGACTGTATGCCAGTTAAAACAGTCTGAACTTCCTTCTGTGCATATCTTTTGGTGTGAAAGCAATGAGAATAATTTTCATTCTGCAGGCCTGTCATTTTCATAATTAGGAAAATAAACCTCAAGTTCTGCAAGTATATATCTGTTTGACAACACTCTCATTTATAGACACCTGCTAAAGCTAAAAATTGAACCCTGAGTCATAAAACAAATTTATCCCACAAAAAATAGCATTTGGTGTAAAACAGCCTGTGTCAATGAATATACAAACTGAATAAGTGGACTGACAATAAAAAGACTAAAGAATGCTTTTGTGAATATTGTCTCAGATACTTTCCGAAATAACATGTAAGAATTATTTAAACACAACAAACATTAAAGCAGTTAACATTGGTCTGAAATGCAGGCTTAAAAGTTTAAAGTAAATTTAGCAATAACCTCAAGTTGAGTGCTTATTTAAATAAAAGTAAACTTTTACAGAAGCTATTGTTAAGATATCTGTATGAGTCTACTTTATTTTAATTGTACTATAGACTATAGCACATAACCTTGATTAGTACTGTTGAAATACATACAGAATTAGCAGTAACAAGGATGAAATTTGCCCATAATTTATAGAGCAGACTTGAGTATTGGGTCTAGTTTTTTTTAATATCAGTAATACCTATCTCTCCCTATCCAAACTAAGGCCCTGATCCTGTAAATATTTACTCATGTGTTTAGGTATTTGCAGGATCAGAGCCTAAAATTAATTGATTCTTTCTGAGCACTATAAGGTTTGAGTGAAGACAAGTTTACACCGTTTGTAATACTATTCTTAAAGTTGCATTTATCAGTAGTTACCACTCTCTGGTATCCAAGAGATCACAATTATTTTCCATTCATAAGTATGGAGAAAGACTGCAGTAGTTCATATATCAGTTCTGACTTTTCAGTGCCTACCATTTTATTTCTCCAGTATGAGGGAGAGAAAATTGGGTTTCCCCCCATTGTTAAAAGGAGATCATTTTGTTGTAGCTTCATAAAAGACACTTCCCCAGTAACTGACTGACCCATGTTCTCCAGAACCTAAGCTTTCATATTTAAAGAAAATAAAAATAAAAAATTAAATACTGGGTCCATTGAAGTCCAATAGAGTTTTGTTGTTGGCTTCAACATTTCACTCTGTCTCTAGGAAAACAGACACAGCTTGGAAAATAACTGAAGTATGAATTGCTCCTGTTCATCACAATGGGTTGTTTATCATAATTAGGTTTTCATAGTTACATTTTAGTATTGTTTACTATGCTAGTTATGATCAAAGTATGCAAGAAAGAGGGACAATTATATTATGACAATTGTGCAATCCACCATGAATGACATCTTGTTTTTGTGTTACAAGTGGTTGAAACGTGAGTTGTGAGTGGAAAACTAGTGTACCACCACTTCTTTTCAATCTTCCTCTTTTTTGTAAAAGTAATTTGGTATTATATGTCTGCATCAAGGAGAAATTATAGTCTTTAAGTAGCAAGACTGCAGTTCAAGATGCAATAGCACATTTCTTGCAAAAAAAATGTTAACAGTATAACTTTCTCAAATATCTTTTGGATTGAAATTTCTCATATTTGCAAGCTAGAAATGAAAATTTTGGAAAGTCCTCTCAACTCCTTCCAGCTATCGAGTTACCAACTCATGGATATTTAGGGTAGGAAAGATATTATTCACATATAGTCGTGAAGTTATCCAAGTCCAGAAAAAGTATATGAAAAAGATTTTAAAAGATTTTGTGCTTGTCATGTACATATTTCTGAATGAAGACAAGTATGTTAGGTGCCCTTTTAATGAGTGAAGAATTTTGGTTTTGTAACAATGTCACTGACATTTTAAAATTATGGACTAAACTTTTTTAGGGAGATGCACAAAGATGTGAAGAGTCAAATGCTCAGATGTGAATTTTGGATTTCCATCGCTGTGAGTGAATGCCGCATTACAATCTATGGAAAAGCAAGAGGATTTTAAAGCTATCATATGATAAGTGTATGTATTATTCCCTTATGTGTTGTCTCTGATATTTTAGTATTTTACATTTTTCTAACTGTGCTTTGAAAACCTAAAGTTTCACTTCGATAAAAGATCACTAAAGAGAGTAAAATAGTGACGTTTTTTGAGTTACAATTATATGAACCAGTGATCAAACACCAGTTTTATGCATTTTAATAGTAATTTATTTAATATAGTGTCATCCAAATTGCTTGGGGTAACAGATATATTTGGTAATGGCAATTTGGGTAAGATGAAGACAATAGACTAGGAAGGCAATATGTTAGAAAAGGAAGATTGAATGGGGAAGTTTGATTTTAATCTACTAGATTCTACTGTAACACAACATTTTATATAGTAGTTTCCATTATCAAAGTATTTTGTAAACAGTTAATTCATCCTCAGATTACCTCTGTAAAACAGGTCAGTGAGTATAATGAAGTGAAATAATAAGTTGTTGTGGGGACAAATGTATGAGCTAATCATTAATAAACATTTTCTCATCCGGCATATCAGTTGCCAGCAGTGAGAAGAGTGAAGCTGACAAAACCAAAAAATTCTGTACTATATGTTTTGCACCTCCTTTAAAATATTTGACTGATTTTGAGGTTTCTTTATTGTAAGTTTGGCAAATTCCACACATTTTTTTATGTTTTAAGAAAAACTAGAACTGGTTAAAAAAAAATTGATGTAACAGTTTTCTGTTGGAAAATGCTGATTAATCAAAAGCTAAATATTTTGTAGGAGAGTCTCTTTTGATTAAAAAAAGGTGAAAACAATTCAGAAGTGAAATGGAGTATTTGTTTAGGCTTTCTCATTTTGTTTCGATTTTCTTTTTGTTCTTTGTTCCATTTTGAATAATATATAAAACAGATGAAAACCACCATATAGGAGATACTTTATAATATATTATTAATTTCAATAGGCATTCTTGGGCCTAGTGCTGGTAGTGTCCAAAATACTATAAAAATGACAGTTTTTAACACTTTCAGCATGGGAGCCAAATAGACGTAAAAAATTCACCTTGCTTTAATAGGTTCAGAAGGAAAATTGTTTGTTCAAACTATCTCTAATTTTTGACTATTCAACAACTATTAAAGCAGGATTGAAATTCAGGTCTTATATAGCAGCCCCATACTACCAATGCTAGTGAAGATAAATCGGAATTTGGGATTTTTTTTTTTAATTCCATCAAGAGCATCTAGAACATATGGATAGGTGTGCCCTTTTTAGCATTTTCAGAAATCTAAATAAAATAAATAGTAAGTGCTTCGGCACCTTACAAGTTCTGAAGAAGTCTGTATGAGACAAATCATGGGTGGGGATCAATTCATGAGAGTAGCCCCAGAAAGTCAGACGTTATGCACTTGGCACACTCTAGAAAGTGATATGGGTTTCTTTTGTCTTTTATTACTAGGCACACAATGAAAATAATGTTGCAAGTTTTGCTTGCTCCCTCTCATGAACTCTTTCTTTTATTTTTTCATCTTTTACTCGCTTCATTCCCTCAACCGGTTTGAAACCCACCTCCGCTTTTTGTTAATTTTTTTCCTTTGTGCACTTAATAGTAGCAGTAACTGTAGAATGAAAGTGACTAAAATCCTGATCTCTAAAGCACTCCATGACTCTGTTCTGTGCTGTTTCTTCAGCATTTGAGACATAAGTTAGTTTCTTTCTGCTGTTACCACAAACTGAGTAGCCCTATAGGAAAACAATGAAAGAAGCAGATGTGGAGGAGGAGACGGATAAACAAGAACAAACAGTGGATGTGGGGTGTGAGAGAAAAGTAACTAGTGGGGAGTAAAATGACGGAGGCAACTTTTTTATCTCACTAAGCTTTCCTGTTTACTCAGTCCTCTAGCTTCCATTAAGTGTTTTACTTTTCTTATTTTACATCAGACTGATACTGGCCTTTTATGTGTGGTGTCTGACTACA